AAACCTTATACACCACACTCTTCCCACTACACCTCTATAGCACCACATGATTATATATACAACATATATTATTTATATAGTACATACATCCATATTAATATAAAAGTATATGTATAAACATAATTATTTTATTGAACATAATTTATGTAAAATAAACTATTTACTATCAAAATAAAAAAAAAAATCACTTTTGGCGACTAAAAATATTAAACTTAACTTTTGTCGACCAAAATCGGATTTGGTCGCCGAAGATGCACTTTCAGCTACCAAAATTTTTGTCACCAAAAAATTTTATTCCCGCCTTAGGATTTTAGGTCTCCCGCGCTAAAAATGACCACTTTTGGCGACTAAACTTATTTTTTAGTTGCCAATTATAGACTTTTGGCTACAAAAATTTTTTTTTGCACCAAAAAGCTTTACTTTTGGCTACTAAAATTTTTTTAGTCGGTAAAACCCATATAATCAGCGACCAAACTTATTTTTAGTCTAACTTTTGTCGACCAAAATCGGATTTGGTCGCCGAAGATGCACTTTCAGCTACCAAAATTTTGGTCACCAAAAAATTTTATTCCTGCCTTAGGATTTTAGTTCTCCCGCGCTAAAAATGACCACTTTTGGCGACTAAACTTATTTTTTAGTCGCCAATTGTAGACTTTTGGCTACTAAAATTTTTTTTGGCACCAAAAAGCTTTACTTTTGGCTACTAATGCTGTTTTGGTCGCTGAAAGCTATACTTTCAGCGACCAAATTTTTTTGGTCAGGAAATTTAGTCGCCGAATATGCTTTTTCCTGTAGTGTATATTGAGTTTAATTCATTTATTTTTAATCATTTACTGCATTTTAAAAATTTAGAAAATATATTGGCATTTTTTATTTTTTCAAAAATGTCATTATAAGCTTGGAAAGTTTTTGGCTTAGTGGCATTTCTCAAAATGCTATAAGATATTTGTTTATGACATTTTTCACCTAAGTGCCATAAAAAATATTTTGCACTTACTTAGTGTCCTGACATTTTTTAAAAAATGCCATTGCAAATATTCATAAAAAGTTTTTGTAGTGACATTTTTGTTGTAGTGAAGTGACACTTTTTTTAATTGAAATGCCACTAGAGCCTTGTATGTTTGTGGCTCTATGACATTTTTCTAAAAAATGCCACCAAATATTCTTTTTGTGACATTTTTTCAGAACATGCCACTAGTATGGTGTCACTAAAATATGTTTTTGTTGTAGTGTTGTGACAGTTGTTCATTAAAATGTCGCTAGAGCCTTTTATGTTTGTCGTTTTGTGGCATTTTTCAAAAACGTGCCACTAAATATCATTTTTGTGGCATTTTCTAAACATATGCCACTAGTGTAGTGCCACTAAAGTATGTTTTTGTTATAGTTTTGTGACACTTGTTCATTGAAATGTCACTAGAGCCTTTTATATTTGTCGTTTTGTGGCATTTTTCAAAAACGTGCCACTAAATATCATTTTTTGTGGCATTTTCTAAAAATATGCCACTTGTATAGTACCACTAAAGTATGTTTTTGTTGTAGTGGCAATTTTTTTCATCGAAAATGATTTAGCTTACAAGTTGGATTATGCGAACTAGATTAGTAATTTTACAACTAAAAATGCAAGAAGAATGCTATTTAAGTGATTTTTGTTGCAGTTTTTTTTTTTTTAATTTGATATTTCAGTTTAGATTATTTTGATCATTTTTCTTATTGTAAACTTTATTATATATTTAAGTAAATTTTAATAGATGTATAATTGAAGTAAGCTTTTCAGGACGACCGTCAAATATCAAAAAATAAATAAAAATAAAAAAATTGGACACATAATTATTATTATTTTTTAAATATATATATATGAAAGGTGTATTGAAAGTTCTCTTTGGATCTCGAAAAAATTAGAGCCGACCCTACATAAAGTCTACACAAGCTATGTTTGGCATGCCCATTTGGGCTAAAATAGTCATATAGGACAAAATTTGTTATTTTAGCCAAATATGATAAAATTTCACATTCAAACCATAATCATTTCATTTTTTCTCTTACAAATGTTAAAAATACTAAAAAGTCTATCCGAAACAAGACTTTTTAGCTCCAGGTTAAAATAGTTAAAAAATCAATTCACATCCCGAACGAAAGCTTAAATTAGTAGAAATTGTCAAATATATCTGATAACTGCACAAATCAAATTCTATAACTTCTCACCTTATATAATTACCTAAATCAAACTCACATTAAATTTTAGGGTAAATTATGCAAATAGTCCCTGAAGTTTACACGATGTGTCAATTTGGTCCCTATAGTTTCAATTTGCTCGATTTTGCCTCTTAATTTAACGGATTATGTCATTTTAGTTCAATAAATAACGGTTGTTCAGTTAATTTAACGGAAAGTCAAACAATATATCAATTTAGTCCATGTACTTTACACGATGTGTCAATTTGGTCCCTGTAATTTCAATTTTCTCGATTTTCACAAGGACTAAATTGACACATTGTGAAAAATATAGGGACTAAATTGACACATTATTTGACTTTCCATTAAATTAACTTAACAACTATTATTTATTGGATTAAAATGACACAATCCGTTAAATTAAATGGCTAAATCAAGCAAATTAAAACTATATGGACCAAATTGACACATCGTGTAAAATACATGGGCTATTTACATAATTTATCCCTTTTTTTTTTACTTGAATCACTTAAATATTCGTTATCTTTTTGAATAACTTGTAAATAAGAATAAAATAAATTAATTAATAAAAATTGACATATATAAAAAAAATGTATTAATATAATTATAGGTGTTATATTTTTTAGATATTATAAAATAAAAAAAAATTAATCACTAACTATTATAGATAACATACTGAAAATAAATGACAAAATATATATATATATATATATTTTAAAATTAAAATTGCTAAATGCATCATTACTGAGCATAAATTTTTTGTTAGCATGCGAGACCATACAAATAAAACAAAATAATATAATATTAAACAACTTTTCTAGAGACAACCAAGAGGTCCGTTCAAAAATTAAGAACTCGTTTGGCAAGAGGCTATTTTAACCAAAAAGTTAAAAAGTTACTAAAAAAGTCAAAAAGCCAACAACTCATACCAAAAAGTCAAAGATTCCCTTTTCTCTCTACTTTTTGCACATCTTTTCGTAAAAAGTCAAAAAGTCATCCCAAACATACTAGTTTTTTTTACATCACATTTTAGCCAAAAAAACCAAAAAGTTACTAAAAAAACACACTACAACAAAAACATACTTTAGTGGCACTACACTAGTGGCATATGTTTAGAAAATGCCACAAAAATGATATTTAGTGGCACGTTTTTGAAAAATGCCACAAAACGACAAACATAAAAGGCTCTAGCGACATTTTAATGAACAACTGTCACAACACTACAACAAAAACATATTTTAGTGACACCATACTAGTGGCATGTTCTGAAAAAATGTCACAAAAAGAATATTTGGTGGCATTTTTTAGAAAAATGTCATAGAGCCACAAACATACAAGGCTCTAGTGGCATTTCAATTAAAAAAAGTGTCACTTCACTACAACAAAAATGTCACTACAAAAACTTTTTATGAATATTTGCAATGGCATTTTTTAAAAAATGTTAGGACACTAAGTAGGTGCAAATTACTTTTTATGGCACTTGGGTGAAAAGTGTCATAAACAAATATTTTATAGCATTTTGAGAAATGTCACTAAGCCAAAAACTTTGCTTATAATGACATTTTTGAAAAAATAAAAAATGCCAATATATTTTCTAAATTTTTAAAATGCAGTAAATGATTAAAAATAAATGAATTAAACTCAATATACACTACAGGAAAAAGCATATTCGGCGACTAAATTTCCTGACCAAAAAAATTTGGTCGCTGAAAGTATAGCTTTCAGCAACCAAAACAGCATTAGTTGCCAAAAGTAAAGCTTTTTGGCAACTAAAAAAATTTAGTGTTTAGGTTTTCAAGTCCTGACAAATTTTCAAGTTCAGGACAATTACAAAGGTGTGTAAGAGGAGCTAATTTGAGCCCACTAAATTAATTAGGCCCAATAGTCCAAGGTTGGTAGGCTCGAATTTATCGCAAGTCCAAGATTGGTGGGCCCGGATTTATCGCCATCAAACGGGCCGAATCGCTCTAAGCCTCGAAAGGGTTCGCTCTAAGCACTTGGTTTCGAACGGATTCAGATGCAATCTAGAAGCTGCCCTATTAATGAGTCCCAGAACACTTGCGGACTCGGAGCTTTCCAGGATCTATGTACCAGAACCATGAGCGTAATGGAGTCCGAACAAAGGACCTGATCCCGAGGACGGTAAGTGGAGATAAATTCACTCTTCGGTTAAACTAACCTATACCCGGGTCGAGGTGACACGATCTAGGGGGTCCCTGAGACTCGGCAATATTTGCGGCAGGGCTTTTTCTTGAACTACCCCTAACCCTTATGAGGCAGGACGTCCTCTGGGACTACCCCTGACCCTTTGGGATGATTGGGGATCATTGGTTAGGTGTGGCTAAGAAGAAGGGTTCGCCGAGAGGTTGATCTCCTCTTCGGGGTTTTTCTCATCCTCGGAGAGGTCACCTCCTCGGACAAGGTGGTTAGAGAGAATATTCCCCATGTGCCTTGCACATGGGCTCCATCCTACATCATGAGGTGCCTATAAATAGCACCCACCCATAGCTTTACAAGGGATGGATTTTGGGAGAGATAACTCTTGGGAAAGAACTAATTTCCCTTCTTCATTATCAACCTTGAGAGTGAAAGTGGGGGATTCATGGGAGAGCCTTTCCATTATTCTCTCTCTAGTTACTTTGCCTTTTTCTTCACCCAATCACTTATTTCCATCATCTCTTTGCTCTTGTGTTCTTAGTTGAGACTATTGAAGAATCTAAGCCTCTCATCATCTTCTAGAGAATTCGAATTTGTCTTCAAGGATCTGTGAAGATCTTCGAATTTTCCAATGACGTTTTTGAACCCTCTCATACAAGGTGTAAGGACTCCAAGGCCATAAGATTAATCACGGACCTAAATAACATTTCATTGCCTCCCTCAATTGTTAATCTCTCAAGTGCTAGAAGAGAAGGCAAATTTGTCAATTTGGGGCACCCAGATATCACCAACTTCCGTAGGCAAGGGCAAATTTGTCCTCTATCCACTATTGCCCACTCCTCCAAACTTGGCATTTCATTGAACATGAGAGTCTCCAATGCAGGGAATGAACTTTCCCCATCTCCATAATCCCCATGGTTGAAGTACTTAAGAGAAAACACGCATTCAACCTTGAGAATTTTTAGGGATTGTAGTTTGCCAAGAGGAGGAAGATGTTCACATCTTTTACAATCTTTTAAGGAGATCTCAACCAGATTTTTAAGAACCAAACCCAACATCCAATTTGGAAACTTTGAACCTTGAAAGAAATTTATGCTCAACTTCTTCAGATTCAAATTAGGTTGGAGACTCTCAAGAACCTCTTTGACATTCTTTGGAATGTTTTCTTCATTGCTCTTGCTCCAATATAATTCTAAAGAAATAAGATCTTGTTTCCTCTTCAAATTGGCCTTCTTGGCATCTTTTGAATTTCTTACATTCTCGAGTCTCTTTATGCTCAACGTACCCCCAAGATTTAATTCTTTCAGCTCACCAATTTGGTAACCCTCACCTTGGCCCACAATGAACATGCCTAGTCTTTGTAGGCAAGTTAATTGTCCCATTTTATCAGGCATTGAAGTAAGAGAATCACACCCTGTGATGTCCAAGTAAGTGAGATTTCTCATGTGCTTCATGCGCTTGGGCAACTTCTGAAGTTGTCGGCAATATTGTAGCTTCAGTGTCTGCAGGTTTTGGATATTACATATTGATTCCGGTAGAATTTTCATATTAGACCATGACATGTCCAGATACCTAAGATGGCTGAAATTGGAAATTGACATTGACAACTTCTCATAAGCATTTTTACCAAAATCCAACACTCTAGGATACTTTTGATTTGAAATGTAAGGTGAACAATTGTCCTTGTAAGTGAAGATGACAGGCCGGGACAATATTAAGACAGACTGCAAAGACGGGACTTCAAATACAATCTCATTCCAAGGAACAATCCCTCCATGGCCAATATTAAAAGACAAGTGACGAATTTTATCTCGAATTTTCATGGCCTCATGAGGCACCATAATAGAGCATTCGTATCTCATAATAGATTGTGCAAGATCATGCATGAGGTCGTGCATTTTACAAACTATTGTTCCATCCTCGTGCTCTTCCACATCTTGTAAGAAGGACCACCAAACCAAGTCCCAGAAAATCCCATGGCCCACATTATGTAATGTCGTTTGTTCTTTAGATGTAATAAAACCATTTGTCATCCACAATTGTATCAGCATATCTTTCTCCATCATGTGATCGTTGGGGAATTATAATATCCTTGTTCTGTAGTCTGCTAATTGGTCCTTAACATGAATATGATTATGTGTTTGATATGATTTTGTATGCCATTATGTGAAAATATGTGGTTTTGAATTTCTATCTGTTCACCGCAGGAATATCTGTTTGATTGTCTGCTTTGGAAATTAAATTGAAGGCCCTATCGGCCACTGAAACTGAAATTGGTCGTGCCATTGTGATTGGCATAATTTTTAGAGCCTACGGTGAAGTTTAATTGAAAAATTGATTCGGACCAGATTAAATTGATTAAATTGATGAATTAGTGCCCAATTATTTATTATTATTAAATTGGAATTAGTGGGGCTTTATATAAAGGGCCATATACACTCTCATGGTTTCTTTTTGAGCTCAAAATCTGAGATATACATTTGAGAGGGTGAGAAGGCCGGCTATAGAGAGAGAGAGGGGAGAATTGTGCAATTTTGGCCTTGAAGCTTGATAACTTTGAAGCTATACTCAAGAATTTGCTATTGATTGGAGAAATTGAGCCTCTAGGCAGGTAATTGAAATAATAGTCAAGAACATGGATTAAATTCATTATAAGGAAATTGAGTTGATTTTGTTGTATTTGAAGTTATGGAATACATGCATGTGCATAATAGCCATGAATTTGTATAGTTGAGCATGAAAAAAATGATCCATGTAGAATTGTGGCTAGAATCCATGCTTGTGACCACCATTTGTACAATTTGAGTTGAAATGGAAGTTATATCTCACATGCATGTACCATTCATAAGAAGTATGAGCTTGAATGCATGAAATTGTTATGTTGAAAGTGAATTTGGTGTAGATTGGGACATGCATGTGATTAATTTGTGAAATTGAGCTCCATTGTGTTGTAATTTGGTATTGGTACCATGTTAGTAAATAATTATGTGAAGTTTGAGCCAAAAGCATGCATCTAGAACCATTGAATGTCGAATTGGAGCTCAAGAACATGTTCTGGAAAACCCAGAAAATTTGATGTCCGCTCGAGCGGGGAAACCGCCGCTCGAGCGTGAATTTCGTGCTCCTAGTATTTTTGCAGACTTGGATGTCCGCTCGAGCGGGGAAGTTCACGCTCGAGCGGGGAGCTATGTAGACAGACCTTCAGTTCGAGCGCCAGACTTCACGCTCGAGCATAATTTTGATGCATCCAACACTTTTGCAGACTTCATGGGTCCGCTCGAGCAGGGAAGTCCACGCTCGAGCGGGGACCCTGTTTTCTAAAATTTTGAAAAGGCATCCTGAGTTTCGTTTTCCGTCCTCTTTCACTTCTAAGTACTCTTAGGCATGCATTGAGCATTGTAATTGAGTTAAAGAGATAAGAATGAAGCCTAAAGAGGAAAATGTGAATTTAGAACGGATTGAGTTGTTTGTGACCCTTTTGTGTTCATGGAATGTGTAGGGTCGAGCTCTAGGGCAAACCAACCAACCGATCACTGTGAGTAATATCTTAACAAAGATATCTGAAATATGTTGTTGTCCAAATTACTTACTTCTATGTAAGTTTTATAAGTTCGTTGATTCGATTGGTGGACAATGTTGCTATGCCAAATGAATGGGCCAGAGGCCAGTTTGCTATGAATGATAGAGTGAATGGGCCAGAGGCCGTTTTGACAAGAATGAATGGATGGTCCAGAGGCTGTTTTGACATGAATGGATGGGCCAGAGGCCGTTTGACATGAATGAATGGGCCAAAGGCCGTTTTGACACGACTGAATGAATGGGCCAGAGGCCGTTTTGACATGAATGAATGGGCCAACGGCCGTTTTGACACGAATGAATGAATGGGCCAGATGCTATTTCGACATGAATAAATGAATGGGCCAAAGGCTAATTTGATATGAATAAATGAATGGGCCAAAGGCTAGTTGGACATAAATGAAAATATGAATTGGGCCCAAGGTCGTTTGAAGCATGTTGTTCTACATACCGTTTGTATAACTCCTTTATTTGATATTATTCACTGGGCTTTCGCTCACGCTCATTCATGTGTTTGTAGGTGAGCCAAGAGAAGTCCAAACCCAGCTCCAGTGAAGTCTATGAGGAACAACAAAGATTTTGAAGAGTTAGCCCTTGCGTCTCACGCACGAGACCCGTCTTCGCCTTTTTGTCATTTTGTTTTATTTTGACATGTGGGCGAAGTCTTTGAATATGTTGTATATAGTTTTCTTGGGTTGACTTAGACTTATGTGATCCTGTATGTATAGAACCTTATGTAGTACATATTTTGTTGTGAGTTATTAATATGTATATGTATGGTTTGTTATGATGTGCCATGTAAGCACAACTCTATGGAAAAAGTTTTAAATTGTTTCCGTTTGGCCCCCATTAACTCTGTTAACATACATTTGGTTTGGTTTGAGGCCGTAGGTAATCTCATGATTACTGGCCGGTTATGTCCTCAACCCACGGGGGCGGGTTCGGGTCATGACAGAGTGGTATCAGAGCACGAGTTAATAACTTACACACTTGTCCAAAAGAGCAATAAGCGTCTGGAAAAGATCTATGATGCATTCATATGATAAGTATGAATTTGGAAGCATCGAGAATATGCCTAACTGTTTTGATGTGAACGATTATGTGCCATAAGTTTGTGAATTGCTTGCATTGCAATTGTTTGAATATGTGTGCTTTCTAGTATATGCATACTTGTGTATCTTTTGTATAAAGTATAATGTAAGTTTAATCAGATGGTGAGAACTAGAGGTGATGAGATAGAGGAGTCCTCTACTGCCAGAATAGACAGAATGAAAAGATTGATTCAAGAAATGGCAGAAACGTTGAGGCAACAACAGGAGTGGCAACAACAGTGGCAACAACCACACCCTCCACCTCCACCTCCGGCACCTCCTATGCCAGATAATTAGAACGACGATCGGATAATAGCACTCACCAAAGAATTCAAGAAAATGAAACCACCACAGTTCCACGGGGGACTAGATCCATTGAAAGCCGAAGCATAGGTCATCGGCATTAAGAAATTGTTTGAAGTGTTCCCGTGTTCAGAGACACAGAAAGTACTTCTAGCCACTTTTATGCTAGAAGACGAGGCAAGAAGATGGTGGATGTTAATGCGAGAAAATCATAAAGATGTTGACTGGGTGAAATTTCTGGAGATTTTCTACGACAAGTACTTCCCACAATGTGTTCAGGATAGGAAAGTAGCAGAGTTCATAGAACTTAGGCAAGACAGCATGACTGTAGCTGAGTATGAGGCCAAATTCACTGAATTGGCCAGGTTTGCACCACATGTAATTGATACTGACTATAAGAAGGCGTGACATTTTGAGGGTGGACTTTGAAGTGACATTTTAGAAAGAGTGAATGTCTTGAAGCTAGAGACCTACATTGGGGTGCTAGACAGGGCCACCATATCAGAGGCTAACATAGCTAGACAAACTAAGTCAATAACTTACTGGAAAAGTAACAAAAGGCAAGGCTTCTTCTCAAAGAAGAAATTTTCGAAAAAGCAAAATACGGGCTCCTCAAATACTTCAAATTCTTCCCAAGACACAACTCCCATATGCAATATTTGTAGCAGAAAGCACCGTGGAGTTTGTTACCGTGTGTCAGGAGCCTGTTTCAAATGTGGGAAACAAGGGCATATGGCCCGAGATTATAATCAGAATGGTGGAAAGCTGGCTGCTAGCTCAACTGCATTGATCCCGAAGCTGGGAAATACTTTGAAGTCTGCTACCACCGGGGATACCGTGAGACATGGGAGAGTTTTTGCACTTGTTCTGGGCTATACACGAAATGTCAACGCAGTTGTCTCAGGTACCATTTCTATATGTAATCAGGATGCCTTTGTGTTAATCGACTCTAGATCAACACACTCATTTGTAACATGTGCATTTGCATCTAGACTGAATAGACCTTTAGAATTACTGCCATATCTGCTATGTGTGTCTGCTCCATCTGGGGAATATGTATTGTGTAAATCTATATACCGATTTTGTGATAAGCATGTTGAGGATGCTATCCTATATGTAGATTTGTTACCCTTGAACTTTAGGCATTTCGATGTAATTTTGGGCATGGATTGGTTGACCAAATATTGTGTCACCATTGATTGTGTGACAAAACGGGTTGTGTTTAAACCACCAGAACATAAGAAAATTGTGTTTGTGGGTAATGGGGTAGTGCCTCCACCTTATTTGATATCTACAATGAAAGCATGTAAACTGATCAGGAAAGGGTGCCAGGGTTATTTGTGCTATGTGTTGTTTGAACAATCCGTGAATGTTAAATTGAATGATATCCCTATTGTTAGAGAATTTCCAGATGTGTTTCCAAATGAATTACCAGGGGAATTAGTAGATAGGGAGATAGAGTTTACTATTGAAACTGTGCCAGGCACCCAGCCCATTTCTAAAACTCCCTGCAGAATGGCTACTGCCGAAATGAAAGAATTGAAAGAACAGTTACAAGACCTGCTTGACAAGGGGTTTATTCGACCTAGCACTTCGCCTTGGGGTGCACCAGTATTATTTGTGAAAAAGAAGGATGGAACCTTACGCCTGTGTATCGATTATCGGGAATTGAACACGGTAACAACAAAGAACAAATATCCCCTACCCCGTATTGATGACTTATTTGACCAGTTGCAAGGATCGCAGGTGTTTTCTAAGATTGATTTGAGGTCCGGGTATCATCAGTTGAAAGTTAAGGCAGAAGATGTTGAAAAAATCGCATTCAGAACAAGGTATGGACAGTTTGAGTTTCTTGTTATGCCATTTGGAGTGACTAATGCTTCGGCAGCATTTATGGACTTAATAAACCGAATTTTTAAAACCTACCTTGACGAATTCGTTGTGGTTTTTATTGATGACATTTTGATATATTCTAAAGATAGACTTGAACATGAACATCATTTGAGAACTGTCCTACAAATACTTCGGGAAAGGAAATTATTTGCTAAGCTAAAGAAATGTGAGTTTTGGTTGGATGAAGTTGTTTTCTTATGGCATGTTATCAACAAAGAAGGGATTTCAGTGGACCCACAGAAGATAGAAGCAATTGTGAATTGGCCCACACCGACGAATGTAACAGAGGTCCGCAGTTTTATGGGTTGGCCGGGTACTACAGGAGGTTTGTGAAGGACTTTTCGAAATTAGTTGTGCCTCTTACCCAATTGACACGAAAAGGGCAACCGTTTGAATGGAACGACGAAAGAGAAGCTGCCTTTCATGAACTGAAAACAAGATTGACCACTGCACCAATTTTGACACTACCTTCATGAATGGAGAATTTTGTAATTTTCAGCGATGCGTCTTATAAAGGTTTGGGTTGAGTGTTAATGCAGAACGAAAAGGTTATTGCTTACGCCTCCCGACAGTTGAGACCACACGAGAAGAATTATCTAACACATGACCTAGAATTGGCCACAGTTGTTTTTGCTTTGAAAATCTAGCGGCATTATCTGTATGGAGCAAAGTGCGAAGTCTACACGGATCACAAAAGTCTGAAATACTTCTTCACGTGGAAGGAGTTGAATATGCGACAGAGGAGATGGCTGGAACTGATAAAGGATTATGATTTAGAGATTCAGTATCACCCCGGGAAAGCTAACACAGTTGCTGATGCCTTGAGCAGAAAATCAATGGGGAGTATGACTTGTTTGCTTACTGAACAGAAAGAGATCTTGCAAGATTTTGAGAAGTCTGAAATTGAAGTGGTAATGTGTGAACAGGGCAGATTGATAGTCGCTATTACAACTGAGCTGACAATCATTGATGAAATCAAATAGAAACAGAAAGAGGATGAATTCCTCAAGAAGGTGATAGATGAATTTGAGACAAGTCCGAAAGTAGATTTTGGCGTTGTAAATGAAGTGTTGAGATTTCGAAACCAAATGTGTGTCCCAGACATTCCGGAACTAAAGAAGAGGGTTTTAGATGAAGCCCACAAATCAGCATTTGCTATGCATCCGGGTAACAATAAAATGTATCGGGATTTGAAACAGACCTATTGGTGGCCTAAGATGAAGAAAGAGATTGCAGAATATGTGTCCAAATGTCTTCAGTGTCAGCAAGTTAAAGCTGAACATCAGAAACCAGGCGGTCTACTGCAACCTCTCCCTATTCCTGAATGGAACTGGGAGCATGTGACTATGGATTTTGTTGTTGGCCTACCTCGGACTTCTCGAGGTATGGATTCTATTTGGGTTGTAGTTGATAGACTGACTAAATCTGCACATTTTCTGCCTGTCAAAACTGCATTTAATGCTTATAGATTGGCTACAATTTATGTTGATGAGATCGCCCGTTTACACGGAGTTCCGATATCTATTGTGTCGGATAGAGATCCGAAATTTGTATATAGATTGTGGAAGAGTTTGCAGGAAGCTATGGGGACGGAAATAAGGTTCAGTACTGTATTCCACCCACAGACAGATGGGCAATCAGAATGAACAATACAGACTTTGGAAGATATGCTTCGGATGTGTGCTTTGGATTTTCAGGGGAGTTGGGAAGATTATTCGCCACTTGCGGACTTTGCTTATAATAACAGCTTCCACTCCAGCATCGGTATGGCACCATACGAGGCTTTGTATGGTAGAAGGTGTAGATCACCAAATTGTTGGACAGAGGTCGGGGATAGAGCTTTACTTGGGCCTGAAATTATACAAGATACTTCTAAGAAAATCAAAACTATTCGGCAAAGGCTCAAAACAGCTCAGGACCGACAAAAGAACTATGCAAACGTTCGAAGAAGACCTCTTGAGTATGAGGTCGGTGACCACGTGTTTATCCGTGTGTCCCCAATGAAAGGCCAAGTTAGGTTTGGAAAGAAGGGCAAGTTGTCGCCTCGTTACATTGGGCCATTTTAGATTTTGGAAAGGCTTGGTCCAGTTGCTTATAGAGTTGCTTTGCCACCAGGATTCGAACAAATCCATAATGTGTTTCACGTGTCGATGTTGAGGGATTACCTCTGAGACCCGTTTCATGTGATTGATTATCACCGGGTAGCTATTGATGAAAATATGGAATACGCCGAATGGCCGGAACGAATCGTTGATCGACAAGTGAAATAACTGAGAAGCAAGTCCATCCCAATGGTGAAAGTGGAATGGAAAGAACATTACGGGACGGATGCCACGTGGGAAAAGGAGGATGAAATGCGACTACACTATCCACATTTGTTTCCCGATGAAGGTAAATTAAGTTTGGAGGACCAAACTTCCTAAAGGGGGGAAGACTGTAATATCCTTGTTCTGTAGTCTGCTAATTGGTCCTTAACATGAATATGATTATGTGTTTGATATGATTTTGTGTGCCATTATGTGAAAATATGTGGTTTTGAATTTCTATCTGTTTACCGTAGGAATATCTGTTTGATTGTCCGTTTTGGAAATTAAATTGAAGGCCCTATCGGCCACCGAAACCGAAATTGGTCGCGCCATTGTGATTGGCATAATTTTTAGAGCCTACGGTGAAGTTTAATCAAAAAATTGATTCGGACCAAATTAAATTGATGAATTAGTGTCCAATTATTTATTATTATTAAATTGGAATTAGTGGGGCTTTATATAAAGGGCCATATACACTCTCATGGTTTCTTTTTGAGCTCAAAATCTGAGATATACATTTGAGAGGGTGAGAAGGCCAGCTATAGAGAGAGAGAGAGAGGGGAGAATTGTGCAATTTTGGCCTTGAAGCTTGATTACTTTGAAGCTATACTCAAGAATTTGCTATTGATTGGAGAAATTGAGCCTCTAGGCAGGTAATTGAAATAATGGTCAAGAACATGGATTAAATTCATTATAAGGAAATTGAGTTGATTTTTTTGTATTTGAAGTCATAGAATGCATGCATGTGCATAATAGCCATGAATTTGTATAATTGAGCATGAAAAAAATGATCCATGTAGAATTGTGGCTAGAATCCATGCTTGTGACCACCATTTGTACAATTTGAGTTGAAATGGAAGTTATATCTCACATGCATGTACCATTCACAAGAAGTATGAGCTTGAATGGATGAAATTGTTATATTGAAAGTGAATTTGGTGTAGATTGGGACATGCATGTGATTAATTTGTGAAATTGAGCTCCATTGTGTTGTAATTTGGTGTTGGTACCATGTTAGTATATGATTATGTGAAGTTTGAGTCAAAAGCATGCATCTAGAACCATTGAATGTCGAATTGGAGCTCAAGAACATGTTCTGGAAAACCCAGAAAATTTGATGTCCGCTCGAGCGGGGAAGCCGCCGCTCGAGCGTGAATTTCGTGCTCCTAGTATATTTGCAGACTTGGATGTCCACTCGAGCGGGGAAGTTCACGCTTGAGCGGGAAGCTATGTAGACAGACCTTCAGCTCGAGCGCCAGACTTCATGCTCGAGCGTAATTTTGATGCATCCAGCACTTTTGCAGGCCTCATGGGTCCGCTCGAGCGGGGAAGTCCACGCTCGAGTGGGGACCCTGTTTTCTGAAATTTTGAAAAGGCATCCTGAGTTTCGTTTTCCGTCCTTTTTCACTGCTAAGTACTCTTAGGCATGCATTGAACATTGTAATTGAGTTAAAGAGATAAGAATGAAGCCTAAAGATGAAAATCTGAATTTAGAATGGATTGAATTGTTTGTGACCTTTTTGTGTTCATAGAATGTGTAGGGTCGAGCTCCAGGGCAAACCAACCAACCGATCACTGTGAGTAATATCTTAACAGAGATATCTGAAATATGTTGTTGTCGAATGATAATCTAATACGAATGATAGTCTGACACGAACGAAAGTATAAATGGGCCGGAGGCCAGTTTGATACGAAAGCACAAATGGGTTGAAGGCCAGTTTGATACGAAAGTATAAATGGGCCGAAGGCTGGTTTGATACGAAAGTATAATGGGCCAAAGGCCAGTCTGACATGATTGAAAGAATGGATGGGCCAGAGGCTGTTTTGACATGAATGAATGGGCCAGAGGCCGTTTTGACATGAATGAATGGGCCAGAGGCCGTTTTGACACGAATGAATGAATGGGCCAGAGGCCGTTTTGACATGAATAAATGAATTGGCCAAAGGCCAGTTTGATATGAATAAATGAATGGGCCAAAGGCCAGTTTGACATAAATGAAAATATAAATTGGGCCCAAGGCCGTTTGAAGCATGTTGTTTTACATACCATTTGTATAACTCCTTTATTTGATATTATTCACTGGGCTTTCGCTCACGCTCATTCATGTGTTTGTAGGTGAGCCAAGAGAAGTCCAAACCCAACCCCAGTGAAGTCTGTGAGGAACAACAAAGGTTTTGAAGAGTCAGCCCTTGTGTCTCACGCACGAGACCCGTCTTCGCTTTTTTGTCATTCTGTTTTATTTTGTCATGTGGGCGAAGTCTTTGAATATGTTGTATATAGTTTTTTTGGGTTGACTTAGACTTATGTGATCCTGTATGTATAGAACCTTGTGTAGTACATATTTTGTTGTGAGTTATTAATATGCATATGTATGGTTTGTTATGATGTGCCATGTAAGCACAACTCTATGGATAAAGTTTTAAATTGCTTCCGTTTGGCCCCCATTAACTCTGTTAACATACATTTGGTTTGGTTTGAGGCCATAGGTAATCTCATGATTACTGGCCGGATATGTCCTCAACCCACGGGGGCGGGTTCGGGTTATGACAGGAATATACAGCAATGAGGAAAACATTGCCTCAAATGTGGAGGTAAGGCTTCATAGCTCAACCTCAAAGAAGGTAAAATGCCACTTCCATCATCTGGCAAATCCCAAATCTCACTCTCCTTCATAGATAACCATTCACTTTCACTTCTTTTAAATTGCATGAGGCTTCCCAAAGCTTTTATTACTAAGGCTAACCCTTTGCATTTTTTCACTATTTCCTTCCCAATGAGATTCAATTGAAGGTTTTTCTCTCTTCTTTTGTTGCCAAATGCACGCTGTTTAAACAAGGACCAAGAATCATCCTCCGATAGACAAGCCATGTGTATAGGAAGTGTAGCCGTGATAAGAGCAACTTTCTGAATTCTTCTTGTTACTATAACGGTACAGCCTTTAGCTCCACACTTTAGTGCATTTTTTAGCCTATCCCACTTCTCATGGTACTCATTCCATACATCGTCCAAGACAAGTAAAAATCTCTTCCCAAACAGTTTTTCTTGGAGGCGACGTAGAAGTGGATCCAAGTTTGAGATACTACACCCACGACCTTCTATGGACTCTAGGATTGCTCTGGTTAGTCTCTCTACATCGAAATCAACAGAGACACACACCCAAATTCTCAGCTCAAAGTAGCTCTCCACCCTTCCATCATTGTAGACCAATTGAGCAAGTGTGGTTTTTCCAAGCCCCCCCATACCACACATAGCATATACCGAAACATCATCATCATGATTACTTGAATTGTTGAGCAACATTTCAATTATCATTTCTTTCTCATCAGTTCTCCCATAAATTTCCAATTCATTTACCAATGAATCAGTTTGTCCTCTCTCCATCCCACAAACATTTTCGGTTTCCACCACACCTTCCCTCAAGTGAAACTTATTTTTCTCCCCTATAATGGCATCTAACCTATCTTTCATATCATTGATCATATGCCCCATTTTCAATCGAAATATAAGCCGTTTTAGAAGAGCGAAAGTGGCTCTCACTTGGGATTTTATGCCTCTCTTAGAATCCATCCTTCTCCTCATAGCTTCATTCATGAACTCATCCACCAGATTGTTTGCATCATAAGCTGTGTCATTGAGCTTTCTCAGCCAATTCTTCAGAGCCTCGCCCTTTCCTCGCTTGGTCTCTGCATCTTGAAGGACTGCTTGAATGGTACTTAGAGTGCTCCCTAAGTTCTCTAGATCTGTTTTCAAACCCCATGCTATCCCAAACTCTTTTAGCACTAAAGAGTTCAAGGTTTTCAAAATTGAACTAACAAGGGGAGAAATGAGTAGATCAGCCATACTCTAATCTGTTTTGAGAATTGGAATTGAAATCAAAACCAGACGAGAAAAGAGTTGAATCAATTTTCACTCAAAACTTTTGGAAATGTTATGAAAAGAAATGCAGACCCAAACAGTTTCAAAGAAATCAAATGGGAAACACACTACCATTGGTTGTTGACTTGTACAGTATAAAGATTCCATTTACATGTCTTTCACACCATTTTCTTTATTTTATTTTTTTAATGTTTACTACCCTTTCCAAACATAACATAATGATTTTTTGGTAGATGGTAGTTGTGAGGAAATTGATCTCCATAGCTTACCTCACTGATTGGTCCGGTGATTGGACGGTGGACATCAAATCGTCTCATCTTCGTTCTCTTTTTCCTTCCCTTTGCCAGGAAACTCCATCAGCAAGCTTAAATTGGGTTTTGGTAATTGCTTAGTTTTATGTTATAATTTTTGTATATCTTTTTTAAAAAACCAATTTTTTTTTCAATTTTTTTAAAAATAAAGCATATGGATAATATTCAATGCACTTATTTTTTTTACAATATACTCAAAATACTAAATTTAAACAATTTAAATCATTAAACCGACCTGAAATAAGTTCAAACTGGAAGGTTGCAATTAAAAACTTATTTTCTCTCTCTCTAGCATGGGAGGTGTTGTTCAAAATTGTGAAATTAAATAAATAGATTTATGAAGAAAACAAATTATATACCAAGAACATATGCTGATAATTACAACTAAATTTCAACAGAAATACACAAAAAACAATAAAGGGTAAAGAGACAAAACCGAAGCCTGCACGGAAGCAGTTTCCTTAAAACAGATTTCGCCGCCTCACGGGTCGAGTGCTTGAGGAAACCCGGCGTCTGTCTCCCAGGATACGACGGTCAAAACCAGCTACGGCAGAAGCACTATCTGTCTAGCTTAGCGAACAAAACAATGGCAGCACTCTCTCACAATAGGAACTATTAAGCAAACTGACTTGTAAAATGGAAGTAAAAATTTCTATATATTGAAACTTGACAGGAGGGTCTCAATTTATACATGTATAGGGGAGAGAGGAAAAGCCTCCAGCCTTTAAGGCTAGTCATTAAAACACCAAGCATCCATATCCCCTTTCCCCAAAATGAAAAGTATGGATGCCCAAAGGATTCACACCCTTTAGCCAAGAAAAAAGATTTAAATACTCTTTAAAATCTTATTCATGAATCTAACATCATGAAGCAATTTCTTGACAATTTCTTATTCAAAACCCAATGATTTTTGGCTCACTTGGACCCAACACAAAAAATGGTTAGGACCCACTTTAATATTTAATTAAAGTCACCACACTTTAATATTAAATTAAAGTCCCCAAAAATCATTTTTTCCAACAATCCCCCACATGAATAAAAATTGACCGAATGACTCAACAAACGGACATCGTTCAACAATAAAGACTCGAAGAGAGAGTACAATGGACTAACCCCGACATTAGAGAAGGTAGTTTTTGGTTTTGAACCTCTCCCAGTGAAAACCTATCGAGTTTACTGGCAGATCAGTGAATAAGACATCTTGAACTGCTCTACCGTTTATGTAAACTGAGACAATAGATCTCACACGGGAATTACTCCTACCACCATTATATGTTCTACTGTGTGCTGTGTGGCCTGGATCACTAGCCTGGTTCAGCGAGTGGTTTCAAAGAATCTTGGCTGCATCTTCTAGAAGCGACCACTTCAAATCAGATAGGTGACCTCTATAAAGTTAGTCTGCAATACTTCGCTCAAACAGCTTAACACTAAGAGTCATTAAAGCTAGCTTATCCTCTACACTTGCAGGTATGCAATTAATAGAGAGGAATGGCTGGAGGTTTAACCTCTCAGATGACATACAACCGTTACACGCAATTAGGTTGTCAATTGAACTAGATCTTGGGATGTCCAGTCAATTAGGCTTGGGTTTCCATTCCGGTAACTTCCAAAGGCCTTTGACCCATTCTTTTGATGACGTTTGACTAACACTCAACTTACTTTGGTTGAGCGGATCCCAGTTGTCTTAGACTTTACTAGTTAAAGAGAAACTCCATTGGGAGAGTAGTTGTCGTATGAATTATTGTTTCTATGACGATATGTCTAGACTTTCTTATAAACATATTACTCTGCTGCTACAATTTGCCAGATTGACAATCAACAATGAACTAAATATGCTGGCACAGGTTTTAGACAACGTGGATATCTTGCAATGAAATGGGCGAAGCATTCTGCTTCTTTCGTTGTTTTATCCAAAGTAATAAATCTGATTCATCGTTGATACTAGATATACACGTTTGGCTTGGAAGATTTCCAGACAACGGCTGCCCCACCAAGAGTGAACACATATCACTAGTGGACTTTGAGTTCTTTTATATCTGATTCAATTTCGCGTCATATTCTTTAGACTGGATTATCGAGTATAATGCAGCCCATAATCCCGAGTGTAGGCGTAATACTTACCGCACAATGCCTTCATGGAGAAGCATCAGGATTACTTGTGTAATCTAATAAGCCTAACTAACGAGTTAAGCTATATCCTGGCATAGTAATCGTCAGATACATTAAACTTCATTTCTTGGAGAATATTCTATGAGAGACAACTCTCTTTATTATTCTTGGGTAAAGTGTAGACTTAAGTCTATAGGTGTCGATGCACACTCGTAATGCTGATCCCTAAACTTCTCAAGTATCTTATCAACATAATGAGAACCTGAGAAAGTAAATTCCGCCTAGAGATTCTGGTTTAATCTTAATTCCCAGAAATACATCTACAATGCCATAATCCTTCATGTCAAATTTAGAGTTTAACAACTTCTTGGTAGTTTTTGATCATTTCATCGTTACTACCATTAATGAGCATATCAATCACATATGACACAAAATGACATAACTCTGTCAGTGTCTTTGACATAAATACACTTGTCACATTGTTGATTGAAACTCATTTGACAACATTTCATTGTCAACTTCTCATGCTATTGTTTAGGCGCTTGCTTCAAACAATAAAAGATTTGCACGTTTACAGACTTTTCTTGTTTTGTCTGGAGCTGAAAAACCCTTCAGGTTGCTCATGTTAGATTTTTCAATCAAATCCCATTTTAAGAAAGCTGTCTTATCATCTATTGGTGTATCTCATGCGGCAAAGCTGTATCGCATCATTTATGCGAATGGATGTTTATCCTAGTTAAGGTGGTACGTATCAAAGTAATCCAGGCCTTCTCATTGTTCTGTACCTTTGATAACGAGCTCGCCTTATCTTGTCAATAGACGCATCGGCCTTCATCTTTCCAGTTTAAAAAAATTCATTTTGGC